GAAGATGACTAAATGGTGTAGATGCAACATTCATTTGGATAAATAAATAAGAAAAACCTAACTCATGTCACTATTTCTGGCTCCTTTCATCTTTCGTGAGAACCAAGACCTCAGAGTTAGAGGTGTTAATCTTCATTCCAGCTGCTTCACACTCAGCTGCAAACCACCCCAGTGCACCCCAATCACTGATAAATGACACCAACAGGACCACATCATCAAAGATGTGATCCCGAGGTCACAAAACCAGATACCCTCCACCCTGCACCTGAAATTCTATTCATAAAAAATGCAAACCAGGGCAGTGAAAAACAGCAGCTCTGACTGAGTCCAACACCCACTGGGGACAAATCTGACTTTCGATAGCAATGCAAACCAAACTTTCACTCTTGATATACAGGGACGTAACCACCCAAGGAATACAATCGTATGCCTTTTCCAACTCCATAAAACACACATAAACTGATTAGGCAAACTCCCCAGAATTCTTGTGAAGATAAAGAGCTCACCTCTTCCATGACTAGGACAAAATCCACATGGATCTGCGGTTCAACCAACGGATGGACCTTCCTCTCCAGTACCCTAGCATAGACTTTCCCATTGAGCCTGAAAAGTGTGAACCCTCTGAAGTTGGAATACACCCTCCATTCCCCTTTCCTAAAAACTGGGAACAGCTTGCCCATTTACTAGGTCATAGATGCTGTCCCTATTCTGCACACAATGTTGAAGAGGTGTGTCAGCTTTGACAGCCCAACAAAATTTACAGCCTTTAGGAACTTAGGCCAAATCTCATCCACCCCTGGAGCCTTACGACCAAGGAAATTTTTAACTACCTCAATGACCTTGAGGTCAACAGCACTCCATCCCTGCTATAAACTGTATGGGCAAAGCCATGTTTCTCCTTCATGAGTTCCCTGACAGTTTGCCAGAATTTCTGTGAGGCCAAATCAAAGTCATTTTCCATGGTCTCACTGAACGACTCCCAAACTCGAGCTTTTTGCTTCCGAAACTGCCAAAGCTGCACTCTCCTAGGCCTGCACATACCTGTCAGCTGCTTCCTGAGTCCCACAAGCTAACTAAGCTTAGAAGGCCTCCTTCTTCAGGCAGATGGCTTCCTTCACTGCTGCTGTCCACCACCCAGGTTTGGGGATTGCCTACAAAATAGGTCTGCACAGAAGCCTCAGCAATGGACATATGGAGCATGCTGTACTTGGGCTAAATTTCTTCCAAGAGAAATTATGCCAAAGGTGTCACTTAAAGATTTTCCAGATAGGGACTTCTGCCAGATGCTCCCTGTGCACATTCACTATACATTTCAGTCTACCAGGTCTGTCCGGTATTTTCCCCCGTCTAATATACAGTGTTGGGTGTACTGGTGCCATTTGCACTTATGAACCCCCATTTGCTTGCATGTGATGTTTGTTATGGACAAACAGTGGAAACAATAATAAATTACAAACTTCAAAATATTCAGTGTTGGGGAAACTGTCATCTATGATGCTAGGCTTGCATCCACCCATTCACCTTCTATCTTTGTATCCCAGTGAAAGCTGTGAGGCCAGGAGCATTCTAGTTTAAGCAGTAAGGGATCAAGGCTCGGGCACATATACTATGGCTAATTTACAGACTCAAACTGCATTTCTTTGGGCTGCAGGAGGAAACTGGAGCACCCAGAGAAACAGTGTGACTCAGAGAGAACCTACAAATTGCTCACACACAGAGCAGATTTGGGATTCAACCCCCCACTCTGAAGATGACAGGCAACGGTGCCACCTACTTTATTGATCCACGTTTCTACAAAAAAAACTATATTTCCACACAACAAGAAAACTGACGAAAGATCTGATTTATGATTTGCATTTTTAATTTTACCTTTACAAGTTCTGTTATCAGAGAGCAGCAAGCATAGCGACAAGTGTCCTGTCCCTCTCTTTGGTTCAAGAGCCCATGCTGCACATTGAGATGAGCTTGACTATGTCTAGACTGTATCTCTCTACCTCCCGCACTAGCCTCAGCTCCTTCCCCACCTAAGAGGTTATGTTTTATGTTCCTAAAGCCAGTTTCGATAACTGAGTCTGTCATGGTCCATGCCTTTGACTGCTAGCTGAACCACATAGCACCAGATCCCAATGGTCCCCCTTCCAGGTGGTGGGCCCAATAAAAGGTGGACCCACAAACTGTTTCAGGCTATGCCTTGCTGGTCCCCATGGGTAGAGGCCTGATCACAAAGCACTTGCCAGCAAACTCCCCCCCCCCAGCTTGGCAACAAGGCAGGGCCCAACCTGGTCAACCTGATATCAGCCTCGTTTGGTCTGGAGCCCATATTGTCTTGATCTTGTCTTTTTCTTGGCCATAAGTTGCGAAATATTATAAAACATATTATCTGAATCGATATGCATATATACTTCTTTCCCCTCACTAAGCGGAAATAAATTTTCCTGTGCAGTCCTCTTGTAGCAGCACTACTTAAATGTGTACTACATCTCTCAGCTGCCCCAGTGGTATAATGCTATTGGAGAGCTTCAGAGTGTGCAGGGGCTGCTGGAAAGAGCAAGCAGGGCCTTTAAAAATGAATGTGAAAGATACCAGAAAGATCATGATCGTCCATCTATTTGTTCTTATGCTTCTCACACTTAGTTGACCTGAACTCGACCACCTTGGATTACAGTTCCCATCTGGATGTATGTGCTGTCCTGTGCCTGCTTGTCCATGTGAGTTCATCTTGAGTGTATATGTCTTTGTCTGGGGAGCATTCCCACTTAGGGCCATAGCCAGATATGAGGTCACTGAGGTCTGAACGTCTGAAATTTCTTTAATAGCTGAAAATAAAATTTGAACCCAAATATTCAACTGAATTTTAAAAAATCAGCAGTTGAAAATGTCTCCGGGCCAATTGCATTCTTAATTCAGTTCGAATGTGTCATTAACAGGGTCTGCTGTGTGTGTGAGAGAAAGAGCTACAGCATTCGGTATCAGCATGATAGAAAATGTGCGACTCGGGAATTGCACAAGTGCACTTCACTGAAAGCCGTTCACGTTGTGTGCATGTGATTATGCAGCATTATGAGAGAGGATGTGCAGGCAGTATATCATTCGTTAACACAAAATAATGATCATTATCAGTAAAAAATGTTCCAAAACAGCAACCTAGTATAGCATCTGGAGTAAAGATAATTGTATGAAACATGTTAAATATAAGCATAGGATAGGCTACTCTGGCCATGTTAAAGGTTGGGTTTCTTTCATATTACACCTAATGGGCTAGATTATACTAATGTTTCACATAATGTCATTAATAAAAAAATAAATAACCAGCTTATGAAGGGGACAGTATCAGTAATAGTGTCCACAGAAACATTTCAAGCCAAATTTGGATATCAAAACCAAATGTATTTGATGTTGGCTTGTAATAGTGTGTTAATATCAAGCATTTCTCTTTCATTCTTATGTTTATATATATGGTTACATATCGTCTTAAATTACATGCTTCATGCCCAGAATAACATACCCAGATCTAAATTAATTCTGACAGGAATTCATATTAATAGTTCGACATAACTTGCTGTAACCTAAATATATCAATTAACTGATATGAACTCTCATTTAACACTGCCTATCCCCCAGAAAACAAGCCTTCTGTATGTAATGTGTGATTGATGAGACACCACCCAACCCCCTCACCCCTGGGTCCTGGACCTCAGTATTTTTCAAACCCTGGCTACAGCCCTGCTCCTAATCACCTCATGCCAGATTAGGGAACTGCTATGTTCCTTTCGGAGAGCTGTTCACAAGGTATTTCTTTCACTCATCCATCATCAGTTGCCCCTGTTTATGCTAGCTGGATATTTTGATTTTACCTGTGATATCTGGGATTATGTACAATGTCACAACCGAAGCGCTCATGTTGTTTATAGCCAGGAAGGAACATCATAGGTCTCTATCAAAAGTACCATATACATTAACACAATCTAAGAAATAATAATGCATTATGACTTTAAAATTTACATAATATGTTGACATATTAACTTACTAAATATACTTGTAATATTTTACCAGTTGGTATGTTTAGGCAAGTGGTTACTTTCAAAATTTGTAAATGGATATGATTATTGTTTTCTGTACCTGCCTAACTCACCTTTATATAGTCATAGGGACAGGTGATTTCTGGATGGTCCTCGATGTCAAAAGTGTCATCAAATTCCAGATTGATCAGAAATCCATCCTCAAGCTTAATGTGGTATGTGCAGTCAGTGCTCTTGGGGTAGGGGTTTGGGAAATTTACACTAGAGAGTACTCCTGTCGGCTCACTGAACAAGTCATCAGTGCACTCAACTGTAACGAGAAAAGGGTTTTAAACACATTACAGAACACATTACTGAAGAAATATAAGTATACAACAAACAACAGAAGCAGACAAATAAAGATGCATAACACTCAAGAGTCAGCTCTGTCTCGTACAGGAACGTAGCTAACATCTCTCCAGTTTCTGGCCCCCTGAACTATCTACACACATTTTTATCATTTCAGACTTCAGTTAACGCAAATATTTACATTTCATTTGAACATTATCACTTAAAGAGAGCTCAACAAAGACAAAAAACAGACCTTTCAAAAATTTCCAATCTACATATAAAAAAACATAATATACAAATACAAGTGAAATGTAAGACATATAGTCACACTGCTACATTTGAAAAAAGTTTTATAATTTCTATATAACAAATTTAAAAAGTATAATGACATGAATGAGAAAGTGGATTGTCAGTATCTTCAAATGATTTGAAGCAGAAGCTACTAAATAAGAAGTGACAGTGAGGCAGTTGTTTGCAAAAGCATGAAAGACTTAATGGATTTAATGAATAGCCATTGATGTGAACAAACTAATAACACAATTCCTTAAATAACCAAGAAAAAGGCTGAGACAGATATGTAGCATGGGAAATGAGGAGGCTAGTAAGATGAAGAAGTTTATCTGTTGAACTGTTTATTGCAGTTTACACTTACAGGAGATGCAAAAATTCAACCGCATAAGTCAAAGTTTGCATGTGTCAGTGCATTAATCAAAGTAGTGACAACGTGTACACATAGAAATTTGTGAATCCTCCATTTATAAGAGCACATTCTCATATTATGTCTGGAAGGACACCCGTTTATTGACTCATCTGATACCAGGTACTGAATTTTAAATTGTAATTTGGAAATAGGTCAGTGTCAAAACCTAGAAAATCCTAATATATTTAAAAAATATATACATTTTATAATAAATGTAGAAAAATGTTTACAAAGTAATTAATATTTTTCATTACACACCAGGAGTTAACATGATTTTATGTTGACACACATGGTGTTTCAGATACAATGATCATTAATTGCAAACTATATATTTTTTTTGTTAGGGGAAGGTATTATCTTGGGTATTTAGGCTTGCATCCATCTATTCAACTTCTAACTGCTTATCCCAGTCAAGGCTGCAAGTCCAGGAGCCTATTCTAGGCAGCATAGGGCTCAAGGCCAGGGTACGCCCTGGATGAGATGTCGGTCCTATGTAGGGCACATACATGCTCACACACTATGGCTAATTTAGAGACTTAGAATTAGTCAAGCTGCTTTGGACTGCAGGAGGAAACTGGAGCACCCAGAGGAACCTGTGTAGCACAGAGTGAACCTACAAACTGCTTATGTAAAAAGCTGAGGTGGGATTCAATCCCTAAACCTGAAAATGGGAGACAACAGCGCTACCTTTTGATCTACGATCCTACCACCACCTTGCAAAAAAGCAATTTCCACACAATTACAAAACTGATGAAAAACCTGATTTATGATTAGAATTTTTAGCCTTACCTTTACAAGTTCTGTTATCATAGTGCAGCAAGTAGCCATAGCGACAAGAGCAATAATAGCCACCAATGTAGTTGTGACAATAATGGTCACATGTCAGCTCTTCATCATTCCTGTCCTGACATTCATCCACATCTGCCAGGGAGGAAGACCAGTCACACAGGGGTAATGTTAGTGTGTAGATTTGTTTTTTTTGCCAGCACTGTCTTTCTCCTGGGCTTGTTTCTTACCTACTGCGCTGTAATGGGCCTTGAAACCAAAGAACCTCTCTTCATCAGAGAAATCAGACCTGAATGTCACAACGAGAGTATTTCTAGGAGAACTAATGACTTGCTCTCCAGGCACCAGCTCTGTGTCCGTATTTTCCCGTCCACAGAATGTGGCAAGCACTTCTTCTTCAGCTTCCAGCTGTAAAATAAATGTGTAGCATTTAGAATGTTGAAGCAGTCAAAGAGTGCTTGATGGTATGAGGGACTTATCCACAAGTATCTTTTTTTAAACATCATTTGCTGTGCTGTAGAGCAACTGCATGAGAGCTGTGCTTGAGAAAGAAATGAAAGTATTTAACGCCATTCAACATTGATTTCTGACCTTGTCCTTTACATGCAGAGATTTCTGTAGATTCCCTGAATATTTTAATGATATTATGCACTCTATAGGGTGAAATCCTGAAATTTAACCTTACAAAATCCTGAAATCATTTGGTGAGAAATGTTAGATCATTCGATCATGCAGTTTTGCTCAAAGAGGCAGGCATCAAGCCCTTCCTTGCTCATAAATGACTGGATACTCATGGTATCACTGAGTGTGAAAGTCTCACCTATCCTAGATGCTAGATCCTAGATGCTCTTTCCTCCGTAAAACCTGTTGGGCTGCATCAAATGATATGAAATTGGGCACACATGTAGAAAACAAGTTTGGGAACC